GTATACTAGTGACCCTCTTATTTTGCATGATTCGTTTCCGGACGAACAACTCTTTGAGCTGTCACAAGCGAGCCCTCCGTGGTTTGCACATATTGTGAATTGCTTGGCCATTGGGCAATTTCGTAGAATTGGTCTAAGCAAGACAAAGACCGATTCTTTTCGCAGATTAAGTATTATTTTTGGGAGGATCCGGAGTTGTTTAAATATTGCTCCGACCAAGTGATTCGACGTTGTGTGCCGAAAAGTGAGGTGCATAGCATTCTTACATTTTGTCATTCTTCTGCATGTGGCGGTCATTTTAGTGGGCATAAAACAACCGCCAAGATTTTATAGAGCGGGTTTTATTGGCCCACAATTTTTAAAGATGCCCATCAATTTTGTAGAACTTGTTTGCGCTATCAGCAAATGGGATTGATGTCTCGGCGCGACATGTGCCAATGTCCCCTATTCTTGCGGTAGAAATATTTGATGTTTGGGGGATTGATTTTATGGTACCTTTCCCGTCGTCGTTCGGGTTTGAGTATATTTTCTTGGCAGTAGATTATGTGTCTAAGTGGGTGGAGGTGATAGCTACCCAAACAAACGATCATAGAGTTGCAATCAAATTTAGTCATTTTGGATGCGTGAGAGTGAGGTGCATAGCATTCTTACATTTTGTCATTCTTCTGCATGTGGCGGTCATTTTAGTGGGCATAAAATGGCCGCCAAGATTTTATAGTGCGGGTTTTATTGGCCCACAATTTTTAAAGATGCCCATCAATTTTGTAGAACTTGCATGCACTGTCAGCAAATGGGTTCGATGTCTCGGCGTGACATGATGCCAATGTCCCCTATTCTTGCGGTAGAAATATTTGATGTTTGAGGGATTGATTTTATGGTACCTTTCTCGTCGTCGTTCGGGTTTGAGTATATTCTCTTGGCAGTAGATTATGTGTCTAAGTGGGTGGAGGTGATAGCTACCCGAACAAACGATCATAGAGTTGTAATCAAATTCTTACATGAAAACATCTTTAGTTGTTTTGGGTTTCCTAGAGCCATAATAAGTGATCAGGGTACTCATTTTTGTAACCGGTTCTTTGAGTCGGTAGTCAAGAAATACTCTATCACTCATAAAGTTGGCACTCCATACCACCCTCAAACTAGTGGCCAAGTAGAAGTCTCAAATAGAAAGGTAAAGCACATAATAGAGAAAACAGTGAGGCCAGATAGGAAAGATTGGTCAGAACGGTTAATTGATGCATTATGGGCTTACCGCACTGCTTATAAGACACCCATTGGGATGTCACCATATAGAGCGGTATTTGGCAAAGCTTGCCATCTCCCAGTTGAACTTGAGCACCGAGCATTGCGGGCCATAAAGAAGTTTAACTTCGATATAGCCGCGGCTGGGCTCAACCGGAAATTACAACTCAATGAGCTGGAGGAAATCCGGAATGATGCATATGAGAGTTCGAGAGTTTTTAAAGCTCGGACTAAAGAATTCCATGACAAGCACATTAATAGAAAATCCTTTGAACCCGACCAAAAAGTGTGGCTTTTTAATTCAAAATTGAGACTCTTTCCGGGTAAGCTAAGATCTAGATGGAATGGACCCTTTGTGGTTGTTGAGGCATTTATTCATGGCGTCGTTGAGGTGCAAGATCCAAAGAATGGCCACATTTTCAAAGTGACTGGCCAAAGACTGAAACCATATATTGAGGGGATTGGGAATAGGGACATGATTGAGTCCATTGCTTTGATGGACCCTTTTTACTATGATTGATAGATTGATTTCTTGTTCTCCTTTCTTTCCCTTCTGTTCTATTCTATTTTTTTCTTTGTTCTTGTTGTGCTTTATTTGCGTCTAGGAGACTTTAAATCCTCTAAAGGTGTAATTCCTTTGGTGTTAGCCGTGCCCAAACGGCATCTGACGGTCTGGTATAGCCACCTAACCGTGTTTGTAGTGAGTTCCTAGAAGACCAACTGAGACGGTGGAAACTAGAGTTCGAATGGCAAAGCTTAGAACACAAAGGTATGGAATTTCTGAGATTAGAGTCTGGTTTAAATACCCAGGGGTATGGAGATTACTTCAAAACTACCCCGGCTTAAACTCTGTATGGTAGCCCCATAGGTTGAGGTAACTTTATGCGCCTCAATTCTGGATACCGAATCAACCTAGTCTGTCACCCTGCTAAAGAATAGGGAAAGTTACAAACACAGTTAGGGAGAAAAGTAGTACCTGTGGTTTTTGAGTGAAGATTATATCTTTAGTAGGCATTCTGATATTTTCTAAAATGCTATATTTACATTGGGCTGTACTTGGTTTTTATTTTCTTTTCTTTAATCTTTTGTAAATATAGATATATATATAAAAAATGATGTAATAATAATAATAATAATAATAATAATAATAATAATAATAATAATAATAATAATAATAAAAATGTTGTATTTGTTAATTGTTGTTTTTGGTCAGTAGCCCGAATGCTATAAACTACGTTGGGTTTTATTACCTGGGGAATTCTAAAGTGGCAACTTTATGCCATAACTTTGGTGCCTTTTGTTAGATATTTAGGAGTTAGTTTTCTATTTTCTTGAAGTATGTACGCTTGCGAGTGCTTCTTGTTTTTTTGTTAAACTATGCTGTTGCAATGTAGTAGAAAAAGGTCACTGCATGCGTGTGGGTGGAAGGGACCCTCCCTAGCCTAGGTAAGACCTTGATTTATGCTTTGTGGTTTTTGTCTTATTTAAGTTCCCTTTAGAATGCTTATAGCTTTGCGGTTCCAATTGTATTCAAGCTAGTTCTAGGGTGTTTATGGTTTTGTGGCCCTAGTCTTATTAAACCATTCCTAGCTTGTACTTTGAGGTTTGTGGCAAGATTTGTATTTAACCTCTTTGTCAAAAAGCATGTTTTCATAGTTTATTTTCTTTGTGTTAAAAAAAAAAGGAAAAAAAAAGGGACCGCACGAGTGGTTGGGCTTGCCGCACGAGCGGCCAAACCCCAAAAGCATACTGCTTCACGCCGTAGGAGCGGCCCGAATTAGGCGCTCGAGCGGCCCCATGTGGCGCACGAGCGGCCCAGCATTCAAAAAAAAAAAAAATTTTAAATTGCAAATTTTGTTTTGTTTTTATTATTATTATTATTATTATTATTATTATTATTATTATTATTATTATTATTATTATTTTCTTTCTTCTTACTTATTTAAACAAATGTATATTTATTTTATTTTATTTATTTATTTACAAATTTTATTCCTTATTTATTTACATATGAAAAAATAAATAAATAAAAATAGAAAATAAAAATTAAGAAAAAATAAATTAATTAAAATTAAAATTAAAAATAAATAAAATAAATAAATATCTGTTTTTTTTGTCAACTTCTTTTATTTATTTTATTCTATTTATTTTGTTTTATTTTCGTTAAAAAAAAAAAAAAAAGTTGACCTTATCTACACCTAACACACAATCCCTCTCACAATCTCTCAGATTTCTTTATCTCTCTTTATCTCTCTCTCTCTTAATCCCACAAACCAACCATCACCATCTTCTTCTTCCTTTTTCTTCTCTTTACTTCTTTTTCCTTATTCCTTACCACCATCATCTCACCGCCAGCATCCCTAATCCTCTCCGTCCGACGAATCTCCGGCGACCACCATTTTTTCCAGCTCTCCATTCTTTTTCTCTCTTTCTCCATTTTTTTTAAGGTAGATTTTCCTTTTGTGTATATTTGTGGGTGTAGAAATATATTTGTGGAGTTTTTGTTTTTGTTTTTGTTTTTGTGTATTGTTGATCTATGATTCATCCTTTAAAAAAAAAAAAAGTTTGTTCATAAGTGATTTACTTTTTTTTTATTTAGTTGTTTATTCTTTCTGTTATGTTATTTTATTTATTTTACTTGTGTTTCTTTAGTTGTAGTATACTAATTTAGCCATGTTTATTAGTTTATTCATCTCTAAAAAAAAAAAAAAAAACTCTGCGTATGAAGAAGATGAGAGCCACACGTGCGGCCCTCTCCGGCGCACGTGCAGTCCAAGCCAAAAAAAAAAAAAAAAACTCATAAATAAAGGTGCCAATAATAATAATTTAGTTTATTTTTATTTCCTCTATTTGTTTAGTTTAAATTGTTTCGTTAGTGAGTCTGATTAGTTTAATTAGTTAGTGGATTGTTATTATTTTTATTTTTATTTTACTTGTTTAGTTAGTGATTTCATTTAGATTTTTATTTTAATTTTAATTGTTAAATAGTTTAGTTTTAATTTCATTTTATTTTATCTTCTGAATTTTTATTTTATTTTATTTCACTTTCTTCTCTTCTACTAACTAAATAGTTTAGTTTTATTTTTATTTTAGTTAGTGATTCTAAAATGTTTGGCCAGTAGGCTAACCCTTTCTAGACATAACGGAGTAGTCCTCCAATGATAAGCAAAACAGTTTCCGATACTTTTCGAGGCACATGAAGTTCCTATTTTCTTTTAATTTGAGAGACTTGTGAGGTCTTATTTTGTTGTAATATATTTTTCCTCTCCTCCCTTATTCATATACTAGTGTATGCCCGTGCCTAAAGGCACAGTGTAAATAATTTTAAGATTAAAATGCAATTATAATTTATACGTATTATGTTGAAATTTATAAAGTTTGTGTCATTTTTGATAAAGATACTGAAAAAATATATTGAAATATTTTTCTTCTTAAAGAACTTATAACAATTTTGCTTGTATTACACACTCTACAAAACTCCAATAAAATAACAACTCCCCCTAATCTTAATGCAAATTAAGAAACAAACATATAGGATTTAAAGTTATATTGCATATCAAAATATAAAAGGCCGTAAAAAAAGTGTAAACACTGAACAAAAAACAGAAATAAAGTTATATTGTTATACACCAAAAGAGTAGGTTAAAACTTTATAAAAAGTGGGTTAAAGCTTTACAAAAGATGTATGCTTTACAAAAGATGTGTCACTAAACACCAAAAATTATATTGTCATACACTAAAAATATGTATGCTTTACAAAGATGTGTCAATAACATGTCTTCAAATATGCGTTTGCCCAAACTTCCTCCTCATTATTTTCCAAAAAGTATTTGTATCAACTTTTATGTATCCCCAATGAGGAATATGCACAACAATCTGGTAATTTGTGGAAACAAAAAAAATATAGATTAGTACATTTGTTGGAAATATACATGTCAAAATACTTTGAGATTGAAATTACCTTATTACATCCCCATCGAAGCAAGGTAGTCGTATTTCTCCGTTTAAGCTCCATAGATTTTTCGGTCCAATCCTACAAAAGTCCAAATTTCAAAATATTATTAAATTGAAATTTTTTAAAAAGTTATATAATTAACAGACATAAATTTACGTGGTTACCTTCTAATAAAACGTCATTTAATCTGCATAGAATACTACAGCAACACTTCCGGATGAACAATATTTGTAGTAGAATCCAAATTATCTTTAGGGAGGAGAATACTTATATGATCAAAAGATGTACATCTAGACAATGCCACATATAATTGCCCATGGCTAAACAATGGTATACGCAAATCAACCCCAACAAATTTCACAGATTGTCCTTGAGATTTATTAATGGTCAAGGTATATGCCAATCGGACTGGAAATTGACGTCTTGTCATTTAGAAAGGCATTTCTGAAGAAGATGGTGTCAAAGATATCCTTGGTATGAATGCCAAATTGCCAAACTTTTCTCCAGTTAAAATTTGAGCTTCAATTATGCGAGTACCGCACCTAGTAACCATCAATCTTGTACCATTACATAGTCCATCTTTCGGCGCAATGTTTCTCAACAATATTATAGGACAACCCACTTTCAACTCTAACTTAAAAGTTGGCAACCCAGGAGGATCCAATGAATTTAAATATTCATTAGGATATCTATTTGTAATGGTAGGATCAATTTCATTATCTTTAGACATTTTATTTGCTGCAAGATAAGTATATAATCTCCCTAGAAAGATATTCAACGCAGTAGTATTAATGTCACTGACATCATCGTTACGCGCAGACAGAATTGTGCGTTCAGTTAAAAATGTTGGGGTTGATGTCTCTATCATTTTCAATTGTGGATAAACTATAGAGAGTAATTCATTCAAATCTTGATATTTGTGTATTGTTGATGGAAGGTTAATGATTTCTTGAGGATTGGTCCCAATCTAAAAAAAAGTGAAATCAATAAAAAAGTAAGTGTAAACACAATTTATTAATTTAAAATAATCTATATAATACAGGTTAAAGTAGTGTTGCCTCTATCAAGAAATTTGCAAAATTAGCATTTTCATGGCCTTCATGATTCAAGCGCATATTCAAATCCAAAGTCAAGATATATATATGCTTCCATAGAACAGAGTGTCTTAATGATGCATTCACAATTTGCTCACGAACTCCTTTGGGTATAACTGGTAAGATTTGTCGAAAGTCTCCTCCAAGAACAACAGTAATACCCCCAAATGGTTTTTCACTATCACAAATATCCCTCAATATACGATCAACCGCCTCAACACAATGTCTATGTTGCATTGGAACTTCATTCCAAATTATGAGTTTTGTTTCTCTAAATAACTCAGCTTGTAATGATTATTTGCTAAACCCACAAAGTGAATTTTTCAATACATCTAACGGAATAGAAAATGTTGAATGTGCAGTGCGACCTCCTACCAGTAACAGTGATGCAATTCCAGACAAAGCCATAGTAACAATGATATGCCCAAGGCTACGACATTTTAATGCAATCGTATTGCATAGAAATGTTTTCCCTGTTCCTGCACCCCCATTCAGAAAGAAAACAATTCCTTTATTTTGGAAAACTGAAGAAGTGATTGTATTATAAGCATTCCGCTGTCCATTATTGAGACAATTAATAGTAATTTGTGGATCTGCATGTTGTGCCTCACTCTGCAGTTGTTGATGTTCAACTATCAATCGATTACCAACTACTGCACTCCAATTTGCAGTAGGTTGTGGCATGGGTGGGAAGTCAATTAAACTTTTGCCTGATTCATGAAGCATTTGATTCAAAAGATGGAGACCATAATCTTCAATTTGAGCCTCAGTTGGTTTAGAAATTACAAACAATATACAAATCTTATGCGCAAGATCATCACATATATGCGTTGAAAATTGATTCCATAATGCACATGGATTTAGTGGAGAGCACTGGGTGAGAATAATACTAAACAATCTCCTCAATTGATATCCAGTTTTTATGACTGCAGCCTCTTTTAAGCATTGTATCCATTCTTCATCATCTTCTAAAAGCCCCCTTGCAACACATGCTAATTTAAATGTATCATGCACAACATTATCGACCGTGCGTAAAGACTGAAACGACTTTGGTCCTTTGACAACAGTTAGTAACAAACGCAGATAAAATCTTTCACCACAATTAGGGCTAGCAAAGTACATTCTACTAATTGCATATCCCCTTTCTCTTGATTTCCATCTTTTTTCTGACTTGAGCCAAACAAAATGTTGTGGAAATTCTTGATAAGTGAATGGACATTCATCTTCACTGGCAGCACAATATGCAAAGAAGCCAGTAAGAGTTGACATTTGTTCACCAACTCTAGATTGAATCGTTTGTAATGACCCTTCTGGGTTAAAAACAACACGATGCATTCCTGGTAAATGAAGTGCCAATCGAACAACTGTTGGCATCTCTACATGCAAATGATGACCAAATATTCGCCGAGCAGCTTCTGGAGGTCCAATATATCTTGCATCGAGATATTGTTTAGTCTCATTTATCATTCTTAACACCATCGTTGTACGATCATAACCCTTATAAATGTGCTTATGTATATACTTGACACATCTCATTCCGGCACAAATTTCCACATTTATATGACAGTTGAAAAGTTTTGAAAGATATGCATTGTATGGTACGACATCCCTGTTATCAACTTCTTGCCCTCTCACAGTATGTACTTGACCATTATTGCGACGACGATAGATAGGGTATCCATCTTGATCCATAGTTGTTGTTTCTGTGAAAGCTCGAGGGTATCTCTTAGTGCATCTACCATTTTCCGTGCATGGTGCTTGCGGATTTCGAGCACCACATGGTCCATGTACCATACAACATTTGATAGTTTCAAAAAACATAGGATCATTTTTTGGGTCTGGAAATTCTACACAGACCAATTTGTCTACTTGAGCACATGTCCGAATTTTGTCTGGACCCTTGAGAAATAAAAGTGCATGCATATGAGGGAGGCCTCGTTTTTGAAATTCAATTGTAAAAATATGTGCAACTTTATTTTCAAACACTTTATTGTTTCTATCTCCTTCATCAAACATTTTCTCTTCAACTCAAAAACACGGGCAATTAAATCAGGATGATCAATAGGTTTTTGATATGGTAATAATGCTGAAGTAATTTCTGGCCAATTGGGATTTGCAGTCATGGTAAGAAAAATATCTGGGTGTTGGTTGTATCGTGTGATAGCCATTGAATCTTGAAAGATTTCAAACATATGCCTAAGACTACCAGTAAATGAAGATGACAAAATAAACCTTTGACCAATTTGTCCAGGTCACACATAATCTGGATCCATATCTGACAACTCTTGGTAAAGCTCAGCCCGAAGTTTCCCTTGATTAAGCTTGTAGTATATCAATCGATTTTGCTCAGTTGCAGCCCAAGCATTTACCAAAAACTCTTGAAATAGTTTCCCACCTCGTAAAATTGTTGAATACTCTGTGGGTCGTTCAAACAAACAATAACAATAAAAATTCATTTGAGTAAGTCGATCAGTTGAAAGTCGATCATACTGAACATTCCACAATTTCAACTCAAGTTCCCATCCAAGCTTACCATATGGAAATAATAGAACATAATGTAATGGCAAGTATGCTGGGTGACATTCATTAATTCGCATCAACTCATTATTTCCTCGGAAATGTAAAATAATATCTCTCATTCTATTTACCTCTGTTCCATCACCTGGTATTATAATTGCAATCTCATCTGTAGTTGGTAGGTTATACTGACGTCAATCAGTTGTTGAACTGTAATGAAGATGAGCAGGTAGATTGTGTCTTGCCGAGTCTAATTGATGTAAAATGGCATGAGCTTGGCGATATTTATCTACAAATACATTGACTTGCAACAAACTATCCTGAATAGTTTTTAGAACATCCCTTCTCAAGTTAGGATTTCTACGATTACGAATTTCTAAAGCTGAATAAGGGTCATACATATACAACTGAGCATAACTCGCATCCTGCCCTGGTTGTGGTTGTAGTGATCCTGTTCGATGTCGCAATTCCCCATGAATTGTGAATGATGTAGGGCCCCTTCCACTGAGTACTCTAGGATCCAATGTAGCACCAAGACTCGTAAAAGCATTGGCTGCATTGTACACTTGAGTATAACTTCGAAAGGATTTTGATTGATCATTATTCCTATCATACAATGCCTGAAGTGGTGGACGGGATGTAATAAGTAAAGGTAGCCTAATCTTTCCTTTCAAACAGCTAGTTCCGAATAAGGGACGCTTTATAGATGATTTTGTCAATTTTTCATCCATCTAATGTAAGGCTGAACAATAAGGACATAATACATCCATCTTGCCACGATAATGGCGGCAAGAATCTTTGTGTGCCCGGGCGTCAATTGATATACTCGTAGGCAGATCTTCTAATTCATCATCAGTACATAGATCTTGTTGAAGAAATCAATTTATAGGAGTAGACCTACGAATATTTGTGTATAAATAAAATTTTGTAAAACAAAACGGTATGAGTAAAAGTATGTATTTCAAGATTAGACACAGTAGTTTACCGATTCCTTTGTGAATTTGAAGATGTGCTTGGTATAGAAAACGAACATGTAGAATGATGGGCAACCATTGTTCGTTTTTGTGCTGACTGAGAATCTTCAGTTATTGTTTCCTACTCCAAGTGAGTGCGATCGCGACGAATTAGTGTTAAAGAACGTTGTCTTAGTTGAACACATTCTTCTAATCCCTCTTGCTCTCGTTGCAAGCATTGAATTTCAATTTTTTCACGCTCTCGCCGTGCCTGTTGGGCCAATGCAGCTTTTGATATTACATTATCATTTTGTGCCTAAAAAGAAAATATTTTATCATTGAAGCAAAATATGTGAATATTTTGTGCTTAAAATGAAACTATCTTCTTATTTTTTCCATTTCTCTTAAGTTTGTTTTCTATTTTATTTGTTTTATACCTTTAATAGTGTTATCTTTATTTTCTTTTTTTTCTTATTTCTTCCCTTTCTATCTTCTTATTTCTTCCATTTCCCTT